AGGGCAATCATTGTCCAGCGATATTTTTGGCTTTGCTAAGATTGTAGAGCAGATCTACACAAAGTCAAAACTTRGAGAAATGCCTGAACTCCTTTTGAGATGTCTGTCCCCGAATCCCAAAGAAAGGCCAAGCTGCCCTGAGATAATTAAACTCTTTTGAAATTTAACTATTACAACAATAACTTTATATTTTTCCTCCGAATTGTTCCTCCGAATTGTTCCTCCGAAAAATTGTGAATGAAGTTGGGTATGTAATTTTCATTGTTCAATTCCAACGACTGTGCTTGTGTTGTTGTTTTTTAATCTTATATAGGATTTGAGGACTTAGCGTTTTATACACTGAAAAGTTTTGTGCTATTCGTCATTTTCTTAATATCGTTAGTTATTATGTCATGATGAATAAACAACGTATTCTGGACAACATCATATTTTCCTGACAGCTTTTAGTCTTAACAATAGCAGGAGTTGATCGTTAAGTGCGGATTACAACGCCTCGGAGATCTTACCTAACATTCGTCCCCTGCTGATGTTGGTTGGTTCAACCAACCAACATCAGCAGGGGCCGGCTTTTCGATCTCGCATGAAGCTCGTCATGAGTTACTAGAAACTAGAAAGTGTGTTACATACATGAACACCAACATGTTATCAGAATAAGCCAGTTCATAGTTTAAGAATTGTTTTCAGTGCGCATGCAATTATATCTCGAATTTCTCACCTTCTTTTGTTTAATTAAAAAGAAGGTTTAAACAAAAGAAGGTGAGAAATTCGGGATAAAATTGCATGCACACTGAAAACGATTCTTAAACTATGAACTGGCTTATTTGAGTGAACATGACATATTTCTAAATAATGATGAGGGACAGTTTTTTTGCATGCAATACAATGATTTTTATTTACAAATGGTTCAAAACACTAAGGTTTACAGAAAGAAAAAGGGAAATTATTGGAGATACTAATAGATAACTTTAACAACATTTATGAACTGCATGGTCTATAAATGCTGAGAATATTAACAATTATTTATATTAATAATGGTAAATATATTGAAGAAAATGATAATTTATACTTTGTTGTAGAAAAAGAATATATGAATATCATTTGAAACCCTACTATAACAGTAAGAATATTGGAAAGAATAAAATAGGGCGAGAAAATCTATAACAGTAACTGAAAAGAAACAGTCACTGGTAGATTACTGGAGAGGATCACAGTGTTTGTTTTTTAAAGTGATTTCAATACCTTGTAGCAAAAATAGTTTAAAATAGTAACCGTAAGAAACTACTATTTTAGAAAAGACATACTCTCTAGTATATTGGAGATCATTATCTAGCTTTTGTTATCATAAGTGATATTATGATGAAGTTACAGTCTTTCAACTTTGATGAATGAATGGCATGCAAATGTCAATGTTGGCTTGGA